AGTTGACTTCAGGCTTCACAGAGGGAAAGGAATATCAAAGTGAAAAAGATTCGAGAGGGGGGGGGGCAGAAGAGCATTTCAAAGACAAAGGTAGATAAGGTAGAAAAAAGGTGAGGTGAGTACTGTGGAAGGGGTCGAATATAACATACAGTGGGGTGATGGTAGTTTGAAGTCAGAAATCAACTGCCAGTTTATAGACTTTTTTGCCGTATGAGTATACGCTGCCCAGGGTGCACCACGTGGAGGTAAGTCTATCGCACACCCCACTGTAATTGAGATGAAGCTAAATGATGATCTAATATTTTCAAAAGTCAGAGCTTACTTCACGAGGTACCTCAAACTTCGTAATAGAGGCCAATTATTTTCCCTTATTTCACTTTTTCCCTATTGGCAGATAATTAAGTGAAAAAATCATAGTTTGTGCAATGGTTTATACTTAATGTCCATGATCAATATGTTCTGAAATTAGTTCTTCAAAATAACAACAGTCTATGGTTTCCACTTACTGCGTAATGAATACGGATAGTATAGTACAGTATCTAAGAAATATTTCTCCATCAGTCATAGCAGGATAATGCGACGGCCACCAGATTTAGATAATCAAAGAGTAACGTGAAGAATAAATAAGTAAAAAGAAATTAGCCAAATTGAAGAGGCGTAAAGGAAACTGATTGGTGAAGATCTAGATAGAGAGGAGGTTACTGGAAGACTTGACTGCGAGTATTGGCAAACGAAAACTGAAGAAATGAGTTGACGTTGAAGACGGATCATAAATTTAGTGAAAGTTGGGAACGGTATATTTGCGGATAGAGAGCTGGTAATGGCAACTAAAATAAAACAGAATATATTGTTGGGCATTTGGGAACAACGCATGACGATTAAGGAGTTGAAATGATAGTGGTTTTATACAACGATCGCGTGAGTCTCCCTGTAGTATGGTTTACTTGTTAATAGTAGGTACGCACATGCCACCATCGACAGATTGGGTTGGAATTTGTTGTCCATACTTTAAAGATATAAGTATAGATTTTTTTCTTACATAAAGCATTTCTTTGAAAATAAATGGTTTGAGGTTTGTTGCTACCTGTGACCTAATTCAATTCAAGTTATATCAACTGAGTCGATAAATAGTAACAACACAACTAAGACCCTCTTGGACTGCAGTGGCATCAAAGTGAATTAGCTCGAAAAATCAATAGTTTCCTCTTCACTTTTATTGAAGTACGCACATTTATAATTGGGGTGGGATGAGTAGCCCACGTTTGTTTACCTCAATATTCTTTAGATAATGCACTGAAGTGAATAGATTTACCACTCTTAGATCATAAATCAATTTTGAATTAAATATATCTGTAAGAGTTTAGTAAGACTGATTTGTATGATTTAAAATACCTCGTTAATTATTAGCCCCATTATCTGTCGGCAAGGCTATAGTCTTTATTAAGATCATAGGGTTATTCAAAATGCCGCCAGATGCGGCTGAATTTCAGAAGTCTTTTCAAACTTTACAGCATAACTATCCAGGTTTGGACTTGCCGCGGCTTGATTCCACTCCACAGTGTCTCATGTAAGCTCTTCTAGGCGAAAAACAAAAAGAAAACATGCAAAGATCAAAAAATTCATTTCTTAGCGATATTTTCTCTTAAATCTTAAAAAGAAGGTTTATTTCGAGCAAGTAAATAAAATATTCTAGCCTTTTTAGGTTCGTGCTTTGAAGTTATTGTGGGAGCATTAATCGGAATTGCATTTGTATTTCTGCTAGAACTCAACAATTGTATATATCCAACATACGCTTTACTCTCTTCTACACTTAAGTAACCCTAAAAGCATTGTAAAATACACTGTGGAAATCACTCAACCTACAATCGTCAGCTGTCTTCACCAGGAGACCAATTTGGAGATTCATATTTTGTTAAGTTCTAAAATGACACTATAGTATGCATGAAATTTAAAAAATGATTCGTTTTAATCTGCTGATATCCAAGCGTTTTAATTAGAAAAATCACTTAAATCTAAGTTTACCGAATTTTTTCCAGCAAATATTTTATTCATTACTTAGTTAAATATCTTACAGTTGCATACCTCGAAAAATGCTCATTATTTTGCCTCCAAACTATGTCGTTATTAACGCAATATTTTGTTAACCACAATATTTTACATGTTGTAGTCAATAGTAATAAAGTTCCTAAAAAAGACGAAACTCAACAAAAGTAATATTAATATTTCCATTCAAACCATTAAGTAAACACAAATTATTGAAAAGGCGAAAGAGTTTAGAGAAATTAAAGGCTAGAAAACGAAATCTTATACACCTAACAAATCAGAGAAAATTGATTTTGCGAAGATAATAGTAAATTCTGGTTACACCGGCGGTAAGCTGGAATGTGTTGATGAGGCATCGTCGAAGTTATCATGATCAACATTATAGACGGTAATTCGACTGTATTCCGATTTTCTGCGCCCATCTCTATGCTTAGTTGTGCGTTTCACTAGATACACGTCTGGAGTTAAAGAGCGAGGTCCAGTAGAACGTTCCGGAGTATGGAAACGGGATAAAGATTTCTGCCTTCTTGGTGAATCAGGATTTTTATAAGGTGGTGATTTTTCCCCAGCCTGAGTAGAGCAAACTTGTTCCACGGATCTTTCACTCAATGGGTTCTCACTTATGGCAAACTGTGGTGAATCATTTGATTGCATTCGTTGGTCGCCTTCTTTCCTAGTTTCAAAACCATTTACACGTCTTCTAAACTTCTCCAAATCTAAAGAGTTGAGAAAACGAACAATTAGTAAACGGTGTTTAACGACCATGATAAGACAGTCAGATTGAGAAATGAGATTGTCCTTCGCCAACTCCTTTAGCTTAAAAGAGAGGATCTTTTTGTTTTCCTTTCGTAGTATGACTTTCTGCTTGCTGACCTTTAGCTCCAAGAGTTCATACGGAGAGTTCGAGGAGAATCGATTCAACAATTTTCTCATTTCAATCTCCGAAGTGGCAGAAGGAAGGTGAGTTTCATGGATAATCCCAACTTTAGTTGAGAATGCTTCCGCTGAAGTTTTCTTTTTGTGGAGTAAATTCATGACAATTATTTACTGTTATCTGCGCTGTTGTGCCCTTTTATATACGCAGTTGAAATGCGTTCGGATTGAGCAAAAAGTGGGTTTTAAGTAGCGAAAAAAGGATGAAAGTACAGTTAGGGAGCAAGTGGATGTATAGCCCTTTGGTAATTTGAGACAAAGCCCAACCACTCCACATGTAATTCGAGATAATAGTGATTCACACAATGATCTCTCTTAAAAACAAAATGGCCTTCAGTAAAACGACCAGGAAAAAAACAAATTTGTGTTTACTTTTGAATTTTTCGATTGAGATGCTGTAAGCTCTATTGACTGCAAGAAAATATTTTTAGGTTATAACTGGAAATTTATGAACTCAGTGAAATATAAATAAATTAATAAATTCAAGTTGGAGAGGAGGGGATGTAATTTCTAAGTTAAATACTGATTTAATTCTATAAGCAATAAACGCGTTTCAACAATCTCGCAGACTATTTCAATTACTTTGTTTCTTAGGTGATTGCAATTTCGGTTACTTCAAGTGTAATCTAGTTAAAGTTGAAACAGATAAAATTGTAAACATTTTTGGAAAATATTGAATCGAGATTGAACGTGCGTTCAAAAATCCCCAAGTTCAAAATTCTAGTGTTATGGAAGCTAAGCTAGTTGACCTATTACCCACCTTTCGGTGCATAAATTTAACTAATTGGTTTTTGAGGTATATACTTATTCCAGCATTGAAACACATAGAACGCGGCGTTCTGAAATGAGAAAATTTAAAGATCTTTGCCTATTATATGGGCTTAGGCATCCGGAAACTGTTGACGTGAAGTTCTTGCAGATCTTTTACATCAAACGGATGATAGTTATATTCTCTCTGCCAATTAAATGGTTTTAATCTACTTCTTGAGAGATAGGAATCGACACCTTCATAGAGGATCTCGACATTGTAATTATTATTTTAGACACAGCATAACAGTCAAATAGCGGACTTTTATGGTGCCTTAATTAATTTGCCTTGGCCATCACTTTGTGTAAGTTGATTTTGAGTTGTGTTTTATACCTGGTGGCTCAAAATAAATTTTTGAGGTAAGTAAACAAAGACAACTTTTCATCTCAGTCTGAGTACAACTTTTGGCGCGTTGAAAGCTTAGCTGCGAGACTTTCCATAGAAATCCTCTCAACTAATTCTTCATATCCCATTTAAAAAAGTAAGTGTGTACTACCAAAGCTGACCTTCACGTAGCATTCTGTAGCCACCGAATGCTCCTTGTATAGTACGTCCCATTTTTTTTGGATGAATAGTTTATAATGTAATATTTTACAAGCGGATCACAACTACGAAAGTAGAGAAATAGTGGTGGAAAAGAGATGGGGATTTGGTCCCATTCCCATCCCGATTCGGGTAATTTGGTCTGCTTTACACAGCCCGATATCTCTTTGGTAAGATATCTAAATTATCGGCCAAGTAGGGCGGGGGGT